TGACGATATGAAGGCCCAGAAGCCAAACGAGAACTATGCTCAGAAATAATGGAAACTAGCGGTAAACTAGTGTGAGCTGCGTCGGTGTTTCTATAGAAACAGTTGTGTAAAAAAGATAAATTTAACACCGTAAAAAAGTAGGTGAAATAACTTACTGACGCTTAGGACGCTTCGTCCTTTACTGCAACGAAGTATTAACGTCAGTAACGTCAGTAAGTTATTTCACTACTTTTTTTACGGTGTTAAATTTATCTTTTTACACAACTATGTCCAGCCAAAATGTCCGGTCGCCAAAGAATCTTTGATCGTGTTCGATGTTACTCGTCGCATCCGGAATTTTTTTTTTTTTCGGCAAGTATCGTTAATAATATGAGTAACAGTGAAAAATATATAAGCAGATATTATTAACTATTATTATGGTTATTAGTTTTACCATAAGTGTTACTGTATCCTCAATAGGCCTTTTGCATTTAACGGTAACATGGTACTAAATCCGCCATACTGGAGGGCAAAAGTTCCTAGTAGGATGTTCAAAACAAAGAAAAGTCAAACTAAAGCTGAATCCTTTTGTTTTTGAGCTTGTTTACATTCTTTTGTCATCCAGTATGGTGGATTTAGTACCATGTGACCGTTAAATGCAAATGGACTATTACTGGAATATCAGTTTGAATTACCATTGAAAACAATAAAGGCATATTTATGGTACCGCACGTCGCCGGCTTTGTCGGCAAGCATAGCCATGTTTTATTAAATCTTTTTTCGTCGGGTTTCTATGGTTTTGTTTCAAGGTTTTTCGGTCTTATATCAGTGAAGCCAATTCGCGCGCGGTATATCGCTCTAAGCGTTGTCACCAATGACAAATTTCTACCTCTATATGATATGACAAAGTCATTCATGGTTGGTTAATTGTTTACTGGTCATGGAGAAGCAGCAGATATCAAAATATTACTGCATCAGCGCTGTTTAGGATATTTTTTAAATCCTTTTTAGTAATGTTTTGAAATAAAATTTTTTTTTTCGCATTTAGTATTAATTTGGTCGTCAACATTTAGAAGTTCAATTCATATTTTTTTTTATTTATTTGTGAGAGATAGTAAATTATTAGAATTCAAACTRAATTTTCTGGTGAGTAAAAAAAATGTGTAAAAACAATAAAGGAGAAAAAAATTAAAAATTGAACTATCTTGTATGCTTCCTAGTGAGACCTTAAATTAATTATTTCGGAAGTTTGTATTGGTTCTTAAAAGTTGTAAATTCCTATCTGCAAATTGGTTTAAATCAACTTGTCCAGTCAGGTGRATTGAGGGATTTCAGATTGTTTACTTTTATAATATTCACGCGTTAGAATTATGAAATTCCCCTGATATATAGTTATTTGGTGAAACGTCTTCGGTTAATGTCATTTGCAAGCAGATATATCAAAGAGCAACCTTTCGGCTTCTTCGTGGTGTGGTGAAAAACGCGCCGGAGCATTTATAAGGCAAGTTAGCCAATTTGATAATTAAGATTTTTAACTCGAAGTGTTTATTCAGGTTTAGAGAGCAAAGAAACATTTATASTTTATTCCAAAACTTGACTGAAAGCTGACAAATAATATTTCAGATTCTGGAAAATATTGAAATGGTATGTATTTGATAAAATCCGTGTTGAAATGTTTTTTGTTTTTTTTAACTAGTACTTCTCTTTTAGAAAAAGGTATCGAGAATTTTTCAAACCCTTACAGATTGCGTTCTTCCAAAATGGCAATTATTCGTCTAGTATTTGCTTATACCTGGATAACATAATTGTCCAGGCAATTTTTTAAGTATTAAACTGCTAAAACCTCTTTATGATAAATAGTTTTTCTAAAGCCTTAATTTTTCACTTATAATTACACAATTTTTGTCAGCAACTGTCTAATGAAAAGATACTCAAAATTTCGTCAGTAAATCTAGTTTACYAGAAAAATCTATGCTTAAGCTACTTAAAAATGCTTGAGTTTTAATTTCTCGAGCAGATATATCTATAGAAGTGTTCAAATTTGACTTGACAACAGCAGTCGTATAGGTTAAACAATATATCGTTATGAAATCCAATATGGCGGACGTTTGTTATTGGGTTTAGTTAGTTAGTGTGGTTTGGCTGTCCACCACCAAAGCTAGAAAAATATCCGGTTAGAGTTAGGGCTATTGTTTATAGTATTTAATTTTTACTTATTTATTCATATTTGCTATGTTCTTTACATCTATATTTTCAAAATATAATTTTTATATTTTCTCTTCTTCAACCAAAAGACTGTTGTCTTTTTGGGTAATGAATAAAATAACATTTACGAAAGCAACAAAAAAGAAAACAGTATTTTATTATAATTGGTGGATACTACGTTGAAATGTTGTCAAATTGTTATTTGATATCGTTGTCATCTAGCAGAGAGAGTTAAAGTAAAGATATTTGGAAGAATTGAAATTTATACTCTAGAAAAAAACGGAAGATTATTAGCAAGTTATGATAGATAAAAAATCCATGGAAATAGGTTAAAATCAAAACTTTAACAATTCATTTTAACTCGCTGTACGAAAGAAAGGACAAAACATGGCTTTCGCATGGAATCCCTTTCAAAACTAGTTTAGTTTCTTTATTTAGCAGTCAAGATGTACCAATTGAATTGTTCAWGGTTTCATTTTATCGTATTTCAATGTTTTCGTTCGTTGTTGGCTTTCTTTATGATTGATTATCTTTGTTTTTTATTGATATTATCGGACGTGTTTGTCCTAATCCCGAAACTAGACTAAACAAGAGAAAAAATATTACGCATTTCTGATTATAACTTAGAATCAAAATATCACCTTGCAAAAGTACAATTACTCCATTATTGAAAAATATTATTGAATATGCAATAATGAAATAATACAAGGGATTATTGGACGGCGTCKCGCTGATATCATTTTCGCTGCCTAAGTAAATTCTCAATCAACAAAAATAATTTTGTTTATATGCACAAAGTTTGATCATTTTAGATGTACTTTCCGGTATAAATTCCGAGTAATATCTTAAGATAAACCTTTCCATGGAAAATAATCTTCGTTGCATGACTCCAGYGTCGGTTCAAACAAACTGCGGTGTTYTTTCATGTTTTTCTCGAGAAGAAAAGCATTTCCTTGACATTGTACTWTAGGATGAATAGAAGCATTGTTCTTCTTTTAATTTTCGTGATCCCTTGGATGCAACGGGAAGTGATAGACGTCTTCTTTCTCGTAATAAAATTGCGTACGCTTACGTCACATCCGGGCCTTTTTTAGATRAAAAAAAGTCCCGGATGCTGCATAGGCATCGAAAAATTTCTWACGGGAACGGTGGTGGTTTCGAGTAACGCTTGCTTAATAAGGTAGCGAATAGAGGCCATCTTTGCTCCGCGTGGATGCGAAATGGCGCCAAATTTAGCGTTATTCGACGTATTATTATTATTGATGCTGTTTTTCTGGCGGTGTTCATTACCCCTAGTTCCTTTGAGTCGCGTAATTGTCATTTTTTTTTTCTCTGACAATCTTTTGCAAACAGCTGTAAATAGTTTTAGGATCAAAATAATAATAAAAATATCAACATCACTAGTCAAATAAAGTCCTAGCATAAATACAGTTTATGTGTGATGATAATAATTAATAAATCATATTCTTTCACTTCAGCCGCGAAAAAGCTATAAATTATAAAAAAGCCATACAAAATGAATCCACTGAAAATGTACTTATTGCTTTTTCTTTTTTTTAAGGACTTAGATTTATCATTTATCACAGAAACATGGACACAGTTTAAACTAGTTAAAAACCTCTTCATACTCTTGTTAAATCATTTCCCAGGAACCCTTTCGGACTCATTCCACGTTCCATRTTGATTGCTCTCKCTGCGAATGATRTCAAACSACGACTCGAGGAGTTTAAATTCAAAGTACTTTAGAACTGCACTCGATAATTTAACTCCAACACAACAACATGCTTATATCTCGAAATCGATATAGCTTTGTTTGCTGTRTTGTTGTTTTATCTAAAAATGCAAATCATCTCGCACAAATTAGGATCTATTAATGTTATACCCTTAGGTGTGTGTAGGTGATTGAGAATTATCAAAGAAGCCAACATTTAAGACTCTGTTATTCAATGAATTAGGAGTATCCAAGCGTTGGTGTCTYCATTATCACATACTTTACAATATATGTTTTGTAAACAAGTTTGAAGAATGTGCTGAAGYTTGACCGACTAATTTTGTTTTGAAAAGGGTAGGAAGTCGTTCAGCGAATAATACCAACAAAGCAACAATCGTTTTTGTTTGCTTTGGCTTAGTAAACGTGTAGCGAACCTTTTCAAACCGTTAAATATACGCGAAGATGTATTTACTTAGCATCTTTTATTGTTGTTTTTTTTACATTCTTTTGAATTTTGTTTTGTTTTTATTACGTTCAGTGATAATTTCCAGATCGATAAATATCGCTAATGACTGCAAACGGAGTCTTTGTACTCACTCGATTACACCAAGTGAAAAAGTCTTTTGTGAAAAAGTGTGGAATATTCATACCATTAGTCAAAAACTRACCAATATTCTTGATTGCGTTATCCCCTGTCCAATCATCATCAAGCAGAGTAGATTAATTTATTTTGCCCAACACTAAAACACATCAGAATCAAAGCCTTGAGTGTCCCATGGGAGAATATGGTCTCTCGCACAAAGGCTTTTGCTTCGACTCGTTGCTCRATTCCATCTCGGTTCTTACGCGGATTTGCATAAGGTTTCGTAAGAAGAGTCGTTTATTTTGATGCGAAAAAAAATCAGTCCTTAGAGCGCAGGTGGAAGAAATGGTGGGTTCGATACCGAGGTTTTGAGTGTATAATTACCAGTATACCTTGAAATATGTGTTAAAATTTAGAAAATTCAGTGATTTCTTTGTTTGAAACTAGCCTGAAAGACAAATGTTTTCTTTAAATTACCAATCCAAAGGGTCACATCTGYTCATATTATCTTTCTTTTCACAGGGTTGTAATTGATTTATACCATAACGGTGAAGTTTCTCGCGTCTCGTCAACTGGATTTCTRTAAATCATTTTGAAGTTCTCAAGACACAAAGCTTAAAGTTGCAAGACAAAAAGAAAGGTTGTTGTGTAGTTTTGGTTAAAATGTACAACCACACTTCAAATTCTACCTCGCCGGGTAACGCTTTGCCTGTTGGTCCTCTTGATGGACCAGCCATTGCGTCTGCAATCTTCGTGGTTCTCGTCATGTTACTCACCATCTTCGGTAACTCGTTGGTTTGCTTCAGTGTTTTAAACTATCGGCGYCTAAGAAGCCCAACAAATTATTTGATCTTCTCGCTGGCTGTGTCGGACTTTTTGGTGGGTACCTTCTCGTTGCCATTTCGGCTTACGCAAACCCTAAACCATGGGTCTTGGCCAGCAAAYCTTGGTCGCGAAGGCTGTCAGTTTTGGATCTGGATTGATATGCTTTGCTGTGGTGCTTCAATTGTTAACCTGGCTGGTATAAGCGTGGACAGGTTACTGGCGATAAAAAGACCACTCCGATATCGCGAGGAGATGACGAGCAAAAAGGCTTTTWTCATCATTGCATTCGTGTGGGTCTACTCGATGACTGGCGCATGTTTATCTTTGGTCAAGTGGGAAGGTTCTGAAACCATAACATATGTACCTCAATGTGGCATTACCGCGAAAACCTACATAACCATCATTTCCCTTGCAAGCTTCTTCTGCCCTCTTTTTATCGTTGTTATYTGCTACGGKCTTGTGCTTCACATAGCGATCAGACATGCTCTGCAATTGCAAAAGGAAAAGGAACAAATTGCGGTTAATTTTCGACTTGAGCCWAACGGAAACAACGAGATGATTGACGACGGTGAACACTCGTCGGATTCACCTTACATGCACTTGAAAGAAGGCGCTAAAAGAAGCTCCAAGCAACATAACGGACACTCATTTCATCACCGTCGTTCGAAATCCACAGCTTCAACTTTTAACATCATGAAACAACTGAAAGCAACCAAAACTCTTGCCATTGTTGTCGGCGTGTTTATAATCTGTTGGTTTCCGTTCTTTGTSATCTTCCTGACTGCCCAGTATTGTGGGGCTAAATGTTTTGACGAAGAAAGGCTATCAGTCCAGGCCAAAGAGTCTCTTATAACTGTATTTATTCACGTGTTACCTGTTAGCAATTCTGCAGCTAATCCAATTATCTACTCTTGTTTTAATCATGAGTTTAGAACTGCTTTTTTGAAAAGCTTTTATCGTCTTGTTGGGAAGAATTACAGACCGAAGCGAGACCTAATGAMCAGCGCAACAATGATGTACTGAACCAAGRAAAAAGGATTTCAAGTTCCTCATTTACCTTTAAAGAAGGACATGGAGTTCCATTAAACATTTAATTTATATATATATGTATATATAATGTATATACAAACATGGTCGATTAGGTTAAGTCATSTAGCTATCTTTATTTTAGGTTAATGAAATTACACTTGTCTGCAAAGCGAAATGTGCGGCCAGTAAGTGCAGTGCTAATGGTATCCAAAAMAGCTGTAGCACACAGTCTTATATATAAAAATAAATGTTGATTTACTACGGACAGGCAAGCGATTTTCTGTTGTCTCTGAAAAGAATGACTGTCTAGTTTGAATTATTCAGTTTTAYYAGAAAACAAAAGATTTGGGGYCTAATACTAACCATTGGCTACTTCCATGAACGACAAAAAAATCACTCTGMAACTTTTTCTTGTTAGTATGTTRATAAAATAATAAATCAAACAAGTTCAATGTGGATCAATTATAGYGTTGAGTTTATCGTAGTGTGTTAAGACCCATGCTTCGGTGGCCTCGGACACTAAAATTACGTTTTTGACTTTGTTAATATTTTTTCACTGAATGGTTCAGTTAATCTTGGATTTATTTGTCTTCTAATACTCTATATTCTGTAGTTTTGACTGATATATGTCTAGCATATCGGCGTGTTTTGATTAATGAGCTCTGACCAGTACTTTGTGCCGTGTGGCCAGCAGATTAACTTATTTATCGGTGAGATTTAGAGATTTGTGGAAAATTCAATGTGCCAAACAAGTCGTGCTTAAAGTTGCTCAGTTACGGAAAAGTAATTGCGAAATAAGAGCTAAATGTCTCCCCTTACCAGACTAATTTGTCAGCTATTTGATAAATTACTAAAAACATTTACTTAAAAGAATCATGCAATGGAACGATGAGATACTAATTCCTGGTCGCTTAATTCAAATGTGCTAAAATCAAATGTACGCTCGGGACGCCGCGAAAACATGGCGGGAAAACTTTCCCTCGGGTAATTTCATACGTTTAATTGCTGTAATCCATGTTTTAGCGCAGAACATCAAAATCTGCTTTAATGGCCAAATGTTTAGATGCATTTTTACAAGATTTCCTATGACTAATTTGGATTTTTTTTAATTGAAAATTGTTACCTTTTGGGGCGCTCGCGTCGCCGAGAAAACACGGCGGGAAAAACATTGTTAGCAATAAATGATACTTATAACTGAGACGGTTATTTTAAATGTTTTAGCTCAAAATATCATGATCTTCAATTGTTAAGTGTTTAAATATGGTCTTTTAAGATTTCCTGTGACTTAATTGTAATTTTTAATTCTGAAAAGTTTTCCAATGCGGATTATGCATGATCTAATCTTACGATTTTCGACGCCATAATGGCTGGGACAGATGATAAGGCAAGCCAAGTATTTTTAATCACTTATCTATATTGCACAACCTTTGTTTAAAACCGACGCTTGTTAGCCTCTCATAGGCARTGTACAAATCAATATATATTTTCAGCGGGGAACRTTGTGCAATAGCCTCTTAAAATATTAATTTTTTGTACAACAATGTATACCACCTTACTGCCTTTGTCGGCCTGTGAAAATCAGCTGAACACATAGATATAACCTTATTACAATATATATTTTTATTTACGATAATATCTCATTTAACGCATAATTCTTTCGTTCAGTTTCTTATATTTTCATTTTTTAACATTTCCATGATTTTTTGAAGAAAGTAAAATGGAATTGCTCATTATTTAAGGAATTACGAAGTGCAATAAAGTGTATCCTGGAAACCCTTTTTTTTTCGAGTAGAATTCAAACAAATCACTTGTATGTAATTGGGATATGTTGTCGTTAAGTTGGACCGTCTTGGCTAGAATGAGGTACCTAAAGTTTAATTGATCAGGAGTCTTCGATGCCGCATTGCACGAAACCTCAAAAACTTTGTGTTGCGTTTTACAAGGACTATCACTTGTACAAAACACGCGGTTAAATTCATAAAATAAGCCGAAATCATTAAAACCACTGCTCGTCTATGCCATGTTTTATTCAGTCCCTTGATTACATGTCAGTGGGGATTGAAAAAAACTCGATCACATTTGCCGTTGCGTCTTTCGCAAGAGTCGCAATGAATCCCTTTATCATGGATGTTCTGTGTTAAAGTCTGGTTCTCACTGAAGGTTTTCATTTTTTATTCTGCTTTCTTCGCCGTTGGCTGGTTTTCACACGGTTCAAAAGCGTYAAAAGCGCATGACATCTCCGTCTTCACCAGAGAAAACCAGGCTTATAGGCTTAGCGGGGAAACTGACATACGCTAGTTCATCCCAAACTCCATCCAAYATTTTTGGTTTCTCAAAGATTGTAGATGCTTTAGCCATCGTGGCAGGTCTTATTAGATAGAATATCAAACATGTTGGATGGAGTTTGGTTATTCGTGTGGAAGGGATAATGATCAGTAGTCCTTCACTAATAATGATTATTCCCAGACAGTCTTTCAGTGTTCTCGAGTGTACAGGCATTTAATTTATGTTTTCTCACAGCATCCTCGACGYCAAAGAGCATCGCGTCGACGGCAAAGAAYGTGGTAAATTGGGCAACGATACTWCACTCGTCCTCCATATCATCTTTGGTACTTCAATACCTTGTCATGCACTTCTACACAAACACACATAATGTCATTATGGGAAAAGAAGAAGAAAATTTAAAAACGGTTTTCACATTTAAGATTAGGAGAAMKTGAATACAGAGGACAGAMCGTTTTTAATAGTCTMCTTCACGGTTCCYTGYGCCRYCTTGAAAGGTAGCCGTGCCTTTACATCGAAGCGAGACAACCGTTKAGCGTGCAATGATAGATATCTGTAACTATTTGTCGGTAGGTGTGAAAGAAGGTTTTTATTATTGCRCGCTCTACKGTCGTCTCGTTTCGYAGGCACGGCTACCTTTCAAGATGGCGCAGGGAAACGTKAAGAAGACTATGCTCTTTTTTGGTGTAACTTTTGATTGAGTTATTCATTGATTCATGCTAATTATTTCGTTAAATTCAGCTCGAAGCCGAACTTGATGACTGGCCGTACACTAGGAAGAAAAGAAAGGTTGACTTCACGAGTTGTTGAGGATGTCTCTATGTCTAACATTCGTCGTCTCCAGTCGTCTCCCTCTGTCTCGTGCAATGCATCTTCCGTCATTTCTTCCCTTGATGCATCGCGCGCAAGTGAGAGACGACTGGGGAWGAGTTTGTTTGTCAGGCTACTAGTACATAGGACGCCATTTTGAACAACAGAGAGCATATCAGAGTCGTRTGATTCCTCGCAATCTTTATAATGCCTAAAAATTCTTGCTATGTTTTCTGCTTATGTTTTCTTTGTAGAACAGCAAAGTCACCTCTACTCTTGCGAAGAAGAAAAATACAAGRACTACAACTACACCATCATCCTGGCGTCGCTGTAACTTTCTTTTTGACTTGATGAAATGCCGTCAACGTGAAAATGATGAMATAATGTACAGTTTTACTGATATATGAATAAATGTAGTTTACAGCAATGTTTGTTCTGTTTAAAAATATTATTTGTCATTTATTTTCCCATGTGGTAGCCTACGTGCACGCGTTCAAATGTGTGAGGGCCATTGTCTTCCAGCAACTGGGAACGTCTGCAYGCAGGATATTTACCCTTGGGAAAGTGGTCCCCAGACGAAGTCTKTGACGTCACAGCTAAAACTGACCAATCACAATGAGGCTCTYAATATTTGTACTTAAACAAATCACTTAGTTTGACACYCTCTKTTTGTCA